CCAAAAACAATGGCAACAAAAGCCAAAATTGACACAGGGGATCTAATTAAATTAAAGAGCTTCTGCACAGCAAAAGAAACTATTATCAGAGTGAGTAGGCAACCTACAAAATGGGAGAAAATGTTTGCAATCTATCCATCTGACAAAGGGCTAATATCTATAATCTACAAGGAACTTAAATTTACAAGAAAAAACCACCCATCAAAAAGTGGGCAAAGGATATAAACAGACACTTCTCAAAAGAAGACATTTATGTGGCCAACAAACATATGAAAAAAAGCTCATCAGCACTGATACCTAGAGAAATATAAGTAAAAACCACAATGAGATACCATCTCATACCAGTTAGAATGGTGATCATTAAAAAGTCAAGAAAAAACAGATGCTGGAGAGGATGTGGAGAAATAGGAACTCTTTTACACTGTTGGTGGGAGTGTAAATTAGTTCAACCCTTGTGGAAGACAGTGTGGTGACTCCTCAAGAATCTAGAACCAGAAATACCATTTGACCCAGCAATCCCATTACTGGTTATATGCCGAAAAAATTAAAAATCATCCTACTATAAAGACACATGCACATGTATGCTTATTGCAGCACTGTTCACAATAGCAAAGACTTGGAACTCTGTCCATCGGTGAACTCTGTTGCGACCTGCGCATCTGAGGGATCTAGATTGTGCACTCCTTTTGAGAATCTAACTAATGCCTGATGATCTGAGATGGAGCAGTTTCGTTGCAAAACCATTTCCCCTGCCACTCCATCCGTGGAAAAAATTGTCTTCCATGAAAGGGTCCCTGGTGCCAAAAATATTGGGGATCACTGCTCTAATGAATCGAAGAATAGTTGTTGGTTTTCTGTTTATTCAGCTTTTTTTGTATGTGAAGACTGGAGCAGTGATTTCCAGTATGCTGGACCAGAGATTGCAAATCTGTGCCATAGATAGTGAATGGATTGTTTGATCTCTCTATATATCTGCAATTCTGAAGCTGTAGAGGGCAGTTAATTGATCTTATCCTACACTCATACATCACTTAGGGGACATATGACAAAAAATATGGCAATGAGCTACATTTTCATTAATGTTGGTGGCATTGTTATGTCCATCCTGTATTAACCACCTTAAAACCTATAACCTCTTTTCTTCAAGGGAAATTTCCCTTTGTATTAATTTAGATATTTTTTCTTTTTTCTTATATATAGTTTGAGTATTTTCAAACTAACCCATAGGAAACTATGCATTTCTAAGGATTAAGCAGTAACTCAGTTCATTGCTTTGCCTTATCAGTGGTAACTAAAGAGCAGACCCTTAAAAGAACAACTGAGTGTAGCTGGGGCCAAGAAACGTCACATTGTCCTCTCACTGATGCATTTCACACACTGGTTTTAATAAGCTACACACCTAATGAAATGCAGTATTTCTGATAGGAAAGGAATTTTACTCAGAGACTTCCAGTCAGTGCCGGTGACCTGACTTTAACATTGCAGGCACCAGGATTGTCTGGATTCGGCAGGAGAGGAATTTCAGGAAACACTCCTAATCATTTTCTTTCAAACGCTTACCCGGCCAACTTAGATCCAAGGACATTGTTGAAGTAGATCGTCTCTAATACACATCTGATATAGTTTGGAATCCCCTCCAAATCATGGGGTCATGGGGGTAGATTTCTCATGGCTCATAGTCTGTGAGTTCTTACAGAATCTGGTTGTTGTAAAGTGTGGCACACCACCCACCCTGGCACTCTCTCTCCTGTTCCTGCTTTCCCTAAGTAATGTGCCCGCTCCCAAGTGGCCTTCTGCCATGAGTAAAAGCTTCTTGAAGCCTCCCCAGAAGCAGTTGCCTGTGCCGTGCTTCCTGGAGAGCCTGAAGAACTGTGAGACAATTAAACCTCATTTCTCTAAAGGAATGCCCAGCCTCAGGTATTCCTTTAGAGAAATGCAAGCATGGCTTAATAAACCATGTATTCTGGAATTGAGTAATTAACACCCATATTTTCTATTACCTCTTTATATCTATTGCTGAATGTTTTTCTTCGAAGGAGTCTTCCTTCAAAATAAATGTTGAGGCATTTTTTTCATCAAAAAATTTAACATGGATTTAATTTGATAATATAATAGTTATGTTTAGATGACATCACTTTGGTTTATCTATGTTTAAATTTAGCAAGTTCTCTTTAAGTTTTTAATGTTCTCCATTGTGTGCTATAGCTTTGATATAACTTTGCATACAATATAACCCTTGATGATAACATAAACTCTATTATAATTTGATATCTTTATATGTTCTTCGAATCCATATTTTATGCTAAAATTTTGCTAAAATTATTGCTTTACATTATGTAATGATGACAGTTAATATATTACTGGGTCTGTGTTTGACTAAAATTAAAATTATTAAAATAGAAATAGCCAAATTCATCCAGCAGTTGATTTTTAGAAAGCTATTTCAAACAATTATTACTGTGATGAGTTACCATTTTAATAAAGTATGTTTAATAAATGTAAAATCAGAAACAAATGGAATTAGAATCAATTATTTTTCAAGGATGTTAGCCATTGTAGTTTTTCAAAATTATCGACATTTAAAAGTTATTAAAATTGAGCATTTTGCTGAGAGTTATCGCAAAAAAACCCTCAGAATACAGTAATATTATTTCCATTGAAGGTCAGAAATTCATGCTACACTTTTAGTTGTTAGTCCCATCAGACATAATGAATAAACAACATTATGAGTTCTTAAACAATAGTTCTAGTTTTCCCATCAGCCACAGTGACTATGGAAACACTTGACATAACATGTACTTATTCAATATAATAACACTGGAGTATTATTAATACATATTATGAATTAAATAACCTACAAACTTGTCATTTCATTGAAATAAGTAGTAAGTTAGTAAAGTTGACCAGAATTGATTGGGACTAGGGGTAGGGTCAAATAATAGGGTAAGATGTGTTGACGCCTATTGGAGAGTTTCATGCTCATGACGTGGGGCGGGAATGTCATGGTCTGGTTTTGAGAAGCAAAGTAAGAAGAGAATGGAAGGAAAATGAATTTGACAAGACCGTGTAGGATTGGTTGAAGATTAAAAAGACTAAATGCGGAGAGAAAAGTAAACTGCAAAACCAGTAAAAATGGGTACATTAATAAATAAAATAAATATGTGCTGAGGTTTGGGGAAAAAACGAAGTTTTGGAGTTACATTTTCATGTAATTTGGCCTTCTAAACTAATTTTGCCAGAAAAAAAATTATAAAATAAATATAATAAATTTTTAAGTTGTGTTGTAAACCAAGATTTGTGCAAAAATCAGAGTTCACTTTAAATAGGTTCTGAATAGTTGTCCTGTTATTGACAAGTTGAATTAGAAACTTTACATCTTTTAGTTTTAGTTTTTAATAAATAGAAAAATAATTGCATAAACTTATAAACCAAGTATCCACCACACCCTGGAGCTGAAGATTCTTTGGAGTGGATACTTACATGTCAGACTGGAAGTAGTCAATGGTTCCAAATTCCCTTCAGATTGAATCCTAGCTTATTTTGTTAATTAAAGGATCAATATTAAAAGTAATGCTTTTGCTTTAGAAATGTCTTGAGTATCATCTTTTCCAAAACGTCCAATTTTATTTTAGGGTTAAAGTCTCACATTTCAGGTTTCCAAACTTTGGCCAAGTTTTTAATTTTTCTTTAGTGTTTATCATCTTGATTTATTTTTGTTTTGTTTAATTTCCGTTAACAGATAGATTTCTGAAATTGATTTTAGATTTCTTTTGTACTCGCAGACACCAGCAACATTCTTAGCTTCTGGCTCTTAAATATTTGGTGATTCTTGGTAGTGTTTCTGGAATGTCAATTTAATATCATAATATGTAATAAGATGACTGGAATTATTCTTTCCTTCTCATAGTATAAGTTTTGGATATATTTTATAGGATAAGTTAACTGTAGATAAATTTCGACACTCAGTGAGACAGTAAGATTTTTTAGTAAGAGGGAGGTCATTGGAAAATGTACTATTGCAATGGAAGAAAATTAATATCCACGTGTTTTCTTTCCTCTGGGTCTTATTTTTCCCATATGAAAAAAAGGGTTGCATAAATGATTGCTGAAGTATACTATAAGCCAAATATATATATATAGCAAGTGAGAGAGAAATAGTTAGTATTATATATATAAGTATTGAATTATATATGGTATGGTATATAAATATTACTATATTACCAAATTAGATATAACTTTGGCATCTGATAACTATACAATTTAGGTGCAAAAAGAGAATATAGAAATATAACTCTTTAACCTTACCTTTTTTCTCATTCAGTATAGAATTTTTTAAATAGCACTAGAAAACGGCATATTTTGTTTTGAATCATTTCTACTGTTAAACAAAAATATTAGCAATCTTGCATGTTTGTTGATTTCAAAGGTAACTATTTCGATTTCATTTCTTGTTTGTTGCATTTTTTAGTCACTGAACTATTTTAAAAATTGCTGAATATCAATGTTGGATAATCCAGGAAGATTTTCCATCTGTCAGAATGTTAAAATATTTTCTGCACATTACTGTGGTTTTCAAAATGACTTCTATAATCTGATATTCATTTATCATATTCATGTATAATGAGGGTCTTCTTTTTCTGTAGTCGCATACCCTTAGTCTAACAGACAAAGTTCTTTAGCAATAAAAAATGTGTGTTTATATCTCTTTCAGCTTTTTAAATGCTTAAGGCAGTTACAGGTTTTCTGTTGTTGTTTGTTTTAATGTCCAGTTTGACATACAGAAGTTGATGACAGAAGCAAACAGAGGTTCTACTAATGAAGGAAAATGTAACCTCCATTGGCTCACTTTATAACCCACAATTTCTACAGATAGAAAATACAACAGTCAATATATTGAGCTGTTACATAGCTAGAGATTTCATTCTTTCATCAATCATCTGGATATCCTGATATTTCTAACATCCAATCATAAAAAGTTATTTTTAATGATTTTTTTAAAGGTGTATACCATTGAAGAATCAGGGCTAAACATCCTGGTGTGGTCAGTGATTGGAAATGAGAGAGTGGGATGGACATATGCATATGCACCTCTCTCCAGTAACAGTCCCTTTAAGGTGGCATTTGAAGCTGATTTGGATGGAAATGAGGACATATTTATTGCTCTTGATGACATCTCTTTTACCCCAGAGTGTGTGACTGGAGGTAAGTGATTTTTTCAGAATATGGGAATATTTGTTTTTAGTATATAAATATACTACATATTTGGGAATTTCTGAGGAATTACGTTTATTTTCAGGCCCAGTTCCATTTACACATTGAAGAAGAATCATATACAGTAAGAAGTAAAGTTTCTCTGCCCATGTACTTTGCCATGAAAGTTTCATGTCCTGTAGGCAACAGAATGACTTTGCACTCAAGTTGTTTTAGAAACGCTGAGGAAATTTTGTTCTGTGAATGTAGCTTTATTTTCTACTTTCCTTATTCCCATAGGTTTACAAGAACTGCACAAGGCAAAGGCCCCTACGATTACCTATTATCTTCCAGACTGTCTTCTCCATCTGTATTAACCTTTCCCCTTACCCAGGCCACATTCCTTCTCTAAACCATTTCTACTGTACAAGCTAAAATGCTCATTCTATTTCAAAAAAAAAAAAAAAAAAAAAAAAAACATATTTAACACCTTTTCTAAAAAAAGTCATCCCTTTTACTGAAATCTGAATTTCTGATGTCTAAGATGTTTCCCCCTAAGTGGGGCCATTTGTTCCCTTCCCGAGTCTTCCATTTTAAAATATTAAACAGTAGAGTCATTGTCTTTCTAGGTAGTCAATGCCTCTTTTAAAGATTTTTTTTCCTAATATCCCTATTCAAAAGTTTCTTTTCTTTTAAGACCACTCATCTGAATTTTTATTCTTCTCATAGTTTTTTCTCTGGATCCTAAATCCTGGGCATTTTTGACTTCGGGTGACATACTCCATCTAAAACGCCAGCTTCTTTGACTCTAATAACCAGCACATACCCGCTTCCTCAATAAATCACGCTCATGGTTGCATTCAGGGCCTGATCATCCCTTTTGAAATCTTGTGGTTAAAAATCTTATGTAATCACTACTTTCTCATCTTCATTACTCCTCCTAAACCCATTTTCTAGTAACATTAACAAGAAAAAAATATATTCTAGATTATGAATGTTTCCTGGTTTTTGAGATTCTATAAACAGCCTCTTACTTCCCCCCTAGTAATTAGAGATTTAATCATTAATACCTTATCCAAATCTATTTGCATTCTGAATTTTGAATTCTATTATGTACTGTTTCTTAAATTGTTCACATAAATTTAAATACTATGTGCCAGGCAATTTGCTACGCATTTTGCACATATTAATACATTTATTTATCAGCACATCCTTGTAAATGGATTCTAGATATATAGTCATATGATATGAATAGATCATTTATCTCATACTCCGCCATAATGGCTTTAATCATCTTTGCAATTGAGGTCACATAACCATCTGAATTTTCCAAAACTGCTGCTGGTCATGCTGGTTGGGATCACTTAATACCTTGGTTTATCACATTAACCAGGCCTTTTAAGGTCCCAGACATGTGCGTTTCTCATTTCCTGGCACCAGTTTTCTCCAGCAATCCTCAAATCCTTCTATTTCTCCCTGGCACGTTCTTCACTCTGCTGATTTTCTTGTGTCCTTTGAATAGAAATAAAGCCATTTTGTGATAAATTCCTTAAATTTTCTCATTTTCACCTCCAAATGGGCCTGCATCTGCCTCCAGACTCTTTTTCTCACCGTCTGTCTCAGGAAAAAAAAAATTCTCCGTCTTCCCAAGAGCGAATGCATAATTTTAGAACATTTGCTTTCTCAACTCCTCTCAGTCATTGCTCCATATAAGTCTTCTGTATCTCATGGCTTCACTATCTCTCCTTCCATTCATTCTTGACTCTGTCTTTCATTTATATATATATTCTATAATATGCATTATATATTATGAAAGTATATAATATATATTGCTGCTATATTAATAACATAATATATGTTATTAACCATATTAATAACATACATTAATAACATATATTAGTAACATATATATTAGTAACATACAGCCTATACATATAATTCCATATGTATCATTTGATAGATTTATATTCTGGAATAGATATTTACATATATTTCTTATATATATATTATTCCATATGTATATGATGGAATAATGTATATTTACATGTTTTTTACTAATTTCAAGCTCCTCATCAGCAAAAGAGGCTTGAGGGCTTGTATTTCATCTCCAGAACCTAACATAAGGCCTAGGAAATGTAGCCTAAGAAATTATTGTTTTTCAAAATAACATAATAACAATGAAAACTGATTATGTGAACAACATCCTAACATTCACCAAAGTATAAAGGTTCTTCTTTCCCAGTATGTTATAGAACAGATTTTATTGTCAAGGATGATTTAAAAACAAAACAAAACACTAAGACCTTTGACATTAAGCCTTGAACTGTTTTCTCTTTGTCATTTTGTGTAATAGAAGTACCTCTCCTCAGACCCATTCTTTCCTCCAAAATCCAGAGTCTTAAGGCATAGCTTCTACAACATGGGTTCATTATTGATTCAGGCAGATGCTTTCAGAAAATCATAAATTAAACCAGCACTCCTCAAACTGGGGTGTACAGATGTCCACAGCAACGTCCTAGGGAGTATGCAATACCACCAAATAAATCTGATGTAATTCATTGGGTTTACTTGAACATTTGGGGAAAAAAGTTAAATAATTTATTATTTGGCATTTGAAATAAACACAAATCTACTATAGAGTGGAGTGTCAAAGAGAAAATATAAACCTTTAAAGAAACGTGATCCTTTAGTGCTGTTACTAATGTCTTCTTCCCTGTGGTTTGTGGCACTATGATGGAAAATGTTGAGAGGTGCCTAATTGATAATTTAGACATCGAACGCCTGTGTCATATAATAGACAATATGCATAATATATTGTTGAATATGGAAGTTATGACCAATGTAAGAGCTAAATAATACAAGAGTCTATTGTGAAGCATAGAAAAATGGTAAAGCGTGAAACCAATTTTAATAAGCAGTCAATCAAAAAAGATATCGATAAATCCTGAAAGATATACAAAATATAATATCTGTCTCTGAAAAATAGAAATGTGAATTATTTTTCTTTTTGTATTGGTATTTTTTGTTTCTGTATTTTAAAATGTCTACTTAGAACTGTGTTGTTTGTAATTGGGGAAAAATAATGGTGTTACTTTATCAAGTAAAAGTGTAAGGTCATGATGCATATAATTAAGAACCACATATTTCAGGCCAATGATGGTTTTAATCTTGCCCTAAATGAAGTTATTTATTGGAATTATTATGGGGAACTATTGCATAGATGGATTTATTTCAATTACTTTGAGTCCTGTGTTTTTCCAAAAGTTATTTCTGTTAATAATAACTCATCTCTGTGAAACTCTTTGAGAAATGTGAGAACAGGTTATAATTAGCTCTTCTTATTTGCCAAGGTTAGGGAACATCAGGCAGAATAAATTTTATGGGTGAGCTGTTCTGCTAGTAGTTCAGGCATCTGATGTAGTTTCACTGTTCTGGAGCAAATCTTTATCCTGTGTAAGAATGAGTAATCTAGAATTAGTTTTGCCTTAGCAGTTTTTCTTCCAGTTGCCTTAACTTTCCAAATATCAGCCAACAGAGTCAGACAGAATTTTTAGATGTTCAAGAAGGAAAAAGAAAATAGCAATTATATGTATGCCTCAGAGACATTTGGTAAAAATTATCTTTTAAGTATTAGTACTTAGTAAGAAAAACTTCATTTCCCAGAAATGCCGGATAAAGAAAGCATTCTTTTTCACATAAAATTTAAAATAGGTCAAATTTTGAGACTTTCCTCTTTAAAGTTTCTATTTTGTAGACTAGAAATCTCTAGGATGCAGTTTTCCAATGAAATATAGTTGTTAAAAATGCAAGAATTCTGATAGTACAAGGCCTACCACAATGAGCAAGAAACGGAAATTAAATAGATTTTTTTTCCGGTATTCTTTTATGTGTTCATCCTTCAGCCCTTAGGAAAATGCAAAAAAGTCTATGCCATTACAACTACTAGCTTTGTTTGCCTTTTCTTAGTTAACTCAAACTAGACACAAATGAACTAAGGCACCTAAATTAACAGATAATTTTCTTCAGATTTTATAACAAGACATCCAAATTTGTATGTGAACATGCCACCTTTCTGCTCAGGCCCAGATTGACATCCTACAATAAAAAACAGCAAACTCTCTGCTTCATTTCAACCTCATATTAGGTGTTGTGTTGTTGTTTTTACCACTGCCACAAACTCCCTTAATTGGAAGGAATCTAGAACAATGACATTTGTCACCCCAAGTTACCTACCGTTTTCTTTCCATATAGAAGATTCCACTAAAAGCAGCAGTCCTGTCCCCCACCAGCCTTTACTTCCTGCATTATTACTTCTCTGTCCTACCTTCATTACTTTAGGTTTCCCAGGGCAACATGTTGTAAATGAGTCTAACTTGATGAAATAAAGCATCTCCAGAAATTCTGAGTCAGCAGAACAGTGTTTATTTTCATTGCATCTATTTTCCTTAGCCATGCGAGTTTCCACAAGAGAAATGTGTTTTCTGTTTTACTTCTATCATTTGAAACAAAGAGGATCCCATCTGTCTCCGTGATGAAGAAACATTTTACAGCACCGGTAGGACACTGATATTTTTTAAACTATGTGCGAGACAGTAAAATATTTGAAAGAACAATGGTTTGAAAATACTGTGGCTATCTACAGAGTTTTGTCAGGAGTTTAATAAGGTGGCGAATACTAATAGACACAATTCTATGGAGTTTGCTCCATAGCTAAGAAGTGGATTATTTCCATCTAGAAGTTGGGCAGGTGTGCTGGGTAGAACAGTATCTCCTCAAAACTCCATGTCCTTTGCAAGACCTCAGAATGTGACCTCATTTAGAAATAAGACCTTCGTGGATGTAATTAAGATGTGAATTAAAGGCATTCCGGAGTAGACTGGGCCCTAATCCAGTATGACCAATGTCCTTCGAAGATGAAGAGAACAAGATGCACAGAGAGCACCACGTGATGAAGGAGGAAGAGGCTGGAGCAACTCACCTACAAGCCAGGGAATGCCAGGCTTATAGCATGT